CGGGGACCGGAGAGGAGCGGCGGGTCCGGCCCGGAGCCACCCGCAGGTGAGAGGAGCTCTGGGGCGCCCTAGTGCCCCCGGGCTTGCCGCGGATCCGCCTCTCTGGGGCGGCGTGGAGCCCCCTGCCTCGCTCCTTGGTCGCCTGTTCCGTAGCTTGTGTGGAAACCCAACGCGTTTTGCGCGATTCTAAATGCCGACCTAGTATTTCTTGTCAATGTCTGCACCTTCGAGGTCTTGTTCTTTTTACTTAGCGTTAGGCAAAACGGGGTCTGATACCAGATGTATGGGGTGAGGTGCTAGTCTGTATTTCTTTTCCCTTGCACAGGTTTCTGATGTCTCAGTAATAAACTGTATGTATTTATATTTTCCTTCTGTAATCTTTCTCTAGTGTGTGGATCACTCTGGATGTGGGAAAAAAAATAACTTTTAAAGAAATAGATAAGGATGCTGTTTATGCGTAGGTTTATCTGGAAGCCTTGGAATACTCCTAGGTGTTGGAGCAAGGGCAGCAGCGGGGGTGGTGCCAGCCAGGCAGCTGCAGCTGCAGCATCCAGAGCCCTTCTTTGGCACTGCCTCTGGTTAGGGACCGAAGCTCTGCCTGCACCAGGTCTCCTTAGGAGATCTTGTGTCCATTGGCTGCAGCTCTACTAAGCACTGGTATAGGGTATTTTTCCATACTAGCTTTCTTTCGAAGGCCTCGCCAGCAAGATACTTGGTTCTGTTACCTTCAGGCATTTAATATGAGAACATTTAAGATAAGTCTGAGTGGAGAAGATTTTAGAGCAACTTAATAATCATGATGCAGTCTAATTTACTTCACAACACTGCATTTCAGCTTCATCATTTTCTTTTATTTGTATTAGGCTATTTGCAGGAAAAAATCTTGCCTTTGTCCCTGGAGGACACAGAACTGTAATTCTGCTTTACATTTATGGCCTGTGGCATAGGAATAGATACCAGGTGACATCAGCCGTGTCTCCTGAATGTGACACTTACAGGAGTATATTTTTGGGGCCAAAGTTGTAATTTTTTCATGATCCGTGATTCGAATGTTAATAGTTATTAATCGTTATAGCTGGAGATAAAAGAAAACAGAAAGTGTCCTCTTGTATAAGCAATGTGCACATATCTAATAACATGGTTAATGTAAATGTGTGTGGCTTCTCCGACTTCGTTTTTTTTTCGTTCTTCCTTTGTCATTTCTCTTTAAAGAAGACTTACGATTTACAAGAATTTTTTTTCAAGTGTCCCTTTAACCTTTCAATTGAGGAAAGAGGTTCACTGTAGTGCAATCACTATTCTGCCACCTGCTTATTGGAGTTCACAACTGATTTTTTTTTTCACAAGACATTGCAAGACAGCATTCACTGTTATCAAAAGCCTTTCTGCTGTATAAATTCTCTACCTCTTCCTGTGTTCTGGCTTGTTATCTCTGAAGCTCGTCAGACCTTTTCATAAACCAGTTTAACTCAGGAGAAGAGCAGAAAAAAAGATCTGAATTTTCTGCTGTTTCATGAGTTCAATTACCTTATGCTTAGCTTAGTCTGACAAGGAAGTGAACTGTGAGTGATGGAGTAAGAAAGGAGAAAAGACCTCCCAGTTATGCAGCTAGTAGTTACCTGATGGATCGTTAAGTTACTTTAGCCTAGTACTTATACATGATCAGTATCTTATTTTGCATTACGTTTTACAAATGTCCAACATAAAAAAAGGGAAAGGAGCATAAATGTTTTAAAATGTGACCTAGTAAGCTTGAAAGCAAATTGCCCTGTACTTTCTGATATTTAATACTGATGGTATATGCTGCTACAGTAGGTCACTTTAGTAGTACATAAAGCAGTCTTAGTTGTCTGTTTTTCTTGAAATTCTCTTATTTCTTATGCATTTTACAAAGACCACAAATAGCTTGCTCTAATTTTACGCATACAGAAATGTACAGACAGGTCACTTAGCACCATTCTGTATACCTGGTATTGGCAGCCTCATTTTATTTGCTGTTTTTTTGTATGTGTCTGAAATAAAAAGATGATTAAGAATGTTTTAAACATCTACAACAGGATTAATTGCAAAAAGTGGTATGGGCTGCAACATTATAATACTGTTGCTTCAGTGAATATATTTGGGAAGGCACTGTACATCTCAAAACATTATTTAAGCTTAAAAAGAAGAGAAGTAACAGATAAGGATCATAGGAAAAAAAATAAAGGGAAGAATACCTGCTCTCATTTGAGAGAAATGACAAGATAAGTAATGATTTGAATAGAAATAAGTATTCTTTATAAAATTAAAAAATAATTAAAAAATATTTTGGAGGTTGTTGGTATTCCTAGTGTGTTCAGATACAGGCAAAGGATTTGTATTTGTGCAGTGAGAAATTCCTTAAATACATGGATGTATCTCTGGAGAGATGAGACTACAGCAGAGGAAGGAATTGCATAATATCATTCTGTGTTTTAGAGTGGTTGACATTTGCAAAAGTTTAATGTTATGTTAAAAAGTCAAATTGTGAATTAGATTAAATATGTGATAACAGAGTCGATGCACTGTGATAGTGTGATTGGCACTGTGTGAAAAATTGGAGAACTTGGCTTTGCTTTATAGTGCTGGAGAATTACACAGTTTGAGCTAATTCTTTGGGTTTTACCTTGAGTGAGCCTGGGACCTTGTTGGTTCTTGTATACCTTCCAAATGTAAAAAAACAATCGTGCTCTCTAAGGAGGTTTGTATTCGTTGGTAAACCTCAGATAAACCTTTTCTTCTTATCTGCCATTATAACCATTAGTTTTAGAAGTCCCAGTATTCCAACTCTTCATCTTGCAGCCTGCCTTATTCTGAAGAAGGCTTCTGTACATGCAAAAGTATCAGTAGGGCATGTCATCAACTTAAGTTGTCTTGGGGATTGAGATGAAATAATGAGTTGTTACAGTTTGCTTCTGCACATCTTTAGTTCTCTCTCCATTTTTAATAGTCTGTCCAATTTTGTAGGATCTCTTCCTGCTTAGTATTGTAAATGGGTTTGGTTGAACTGATCTCTATGCAGGTCTCCAAAAATGCTTCGTGAAGTTGAGTTCTTGATTAAAAAGGGCTTGTCTTTTAATCCGAGTTAGTGTTATAGTGTAGGAGTTGAGTAGGATTGTTCTGTAAGAGAGGTTCTTGTATTGAAAAAGAAAGTATTAGCTCCTCAAGGAAAGATAGTAACTTTTATGACTTTGCTGCTTTTCAATTTAATTATATTTCCTATTTTAACTTCCCCCTGAATTCTGAAGAGATACATATTTATTCTGGTTAGCTCCATTTGTAGTCAATGGGTATAGATTTATAGAACTATAGTCTATATAGTTCTAAACCTCTGTGTTCCTGTGACTCATTCAAGGTTTAGACAGCTTCAGAGCCAGAGAAAGACTGGACTTACACAGTCCTGATACATCCTGTACAGTCCTGAATGTAGTCTATCCTGGAGTCTTCCTGCACAGGTGTATGTGTCGGTATATACAGATGTTACTTAAGTGAACAGCAACATATGTGAATCAGAAGGCAAAATTTGGTCCTGAATTTGAGAAATCATATAAAATGAAACATGCAGCGTCATTAACAAAATACAAAATAGATTATGTAGCAGTAATACTGTGGAAGAACTTGCTAGGAAGTCTATAGTGTTGTTAAAATGAATAGATTATGAAAAGCTTCCAAATAGTGAAACTAGCAGCAGGATGTCCTTATGTAATTACAGATTGCTCCATTTTCAGGATAAACTTTGTGTAGTTAGTTTATTAAATTCACTTTCCTGAAAACTGCTTTAGTTCTTTAATGTTCTTCACCAGCTAAGGTGGTGTATGTGTGTGGCATCTTACTCTAGACGTTTTTAAAGAAAATATCAGACAGAATCTGTCTGGCTGAGGGTTAGTTAGGGTTAGATGTAATGGGTTAAGATGTACAGGGAAGACATCTATGTTTCTGATAAGTATAGTGCACTTGGAAAATAAATGAAAACTTGCAGAGTGCAAAGAATACATAGATTTGAAAATTCAAGGTCTAAAACTGCTAAATCTGGTATGTGGCTTAAAGTTCTGCATTTGTAACCTGCTCTAAAAAATAAGTATGTAAGTAAGCTTTTGAATCCATTCTCGCAGAATATACAGATTGTAGTACTGTCAGTATATTTTTATTCCAAAATAATCTATTTTTTTTCTTTAATTGTTGTATCCACTTCTTATTTTTCAGGATTCTTTGAAAATTCCTTAGTGATCTTGACATTGTTACAAGTGACATAAATTAGCCAGTGGCTCAGAATGATGGATACCCAGAAGACTACAAATGGTTTGCAAGTGATTGGACCAGGGACTGGTATAGGGATATCGACACTCCCCATGGTGGGGTATTTGGGAAAAGTCAGTTGAAACTTGTTTTACATGTGTGCAAAGTTCATATTTTTCCTCTACTTTGAGATATTTTTAATTGGTCTTAATTTTCCAAAAAAAAGTCTCCAAATTATTTTTCCACGGAAATCTTATAACAATGGCGAAAGATTATTCTAAGTACAAATGTACTATCATATTTTTTTACTGGTGCTATTTTTAATACTGTTAGCTTTCCTGTGAAAATTTATTTGGCTTTGAAAGATCTGAATTTGTGTTGTCTGGCAATAAATGTCCTTTAGTCTACTGCGAACAGAATGAGCTGTTACGTAATAGTGATGTTAAAGATACTATCTTAAATAAATCAAAATATAAATTCACATAGAACATTCTATTTTACGAGTATATATTTTATAGCTATGATCAAAATCTAATCTAATTAACTTTTTTATACTCTATCAGATATATTGCTTTCTGTCTTGGTATGTATGTCTTTTCTTGAGATAATATATAGAACACAAAATACATGAGCTAATTTTTCCTTTTATTTTTTTCCTAGAACCGTAGTCCTGTAGAAGTAACTGCACATGAGTATTGCCCAGTCTGCAAAGAGAAGGGCCAGACACAAGCCTTACGGACTTACCGCATTAATTTTCAAGAGTCCATTTTCCTTTGTGAAAATCCTCAGGTATTTCTCTAATTAACAGGTTTCTGGGGTTGTGTTACCTTCACCATTTACCCCTCTAACTTCAGGAGTTTAGCAGACCTCAAACAGGACTCTCTTGAGTTGGTCTGCTAGACAGCATGTGACTGTATTTAGATAAAGGCAACGCTAACCGCTGTATTTGTAGTGTTTATGCGTAACTAATTTAAAGAAATGTTTAGAAAATAAATTTTAAAAAAATAGCTTGGCTTACGTAACGAGGGAAGGAAAATCTCTGTATGAACAAGATTACAAACTAAAATTTGGTTCTTCCTGTAACCAGTACTCTGTCCATGCAGATAGTTTCCTATTCATTTTTTTTCCTTTGCCTTTTTTTTTTTCTTGTTTTGCTTTTTTATTCTGGGTCATCCGTGCAGGTTCGTAATTATAACTGCAGTGCTTTTGAAGTTTTCCATTTGAAGTTTAACCTCAGTTAGATTTCTAGGCTTCTTAACAGTTGTGACTTTTGCTGCCTCTCCACTCACTTTCCTGCACTCAACCATGTGGGTGGGGTGAGGGTATCACAGTCTCCTCTGACACTGTCCTTAAACTAACAGAGTGCAAAGACTAGACGCCCTTCCGTGATTTGGTCTCACAACCATTTCCCCAATCCCTTCACTTAACAGTAGCCATCCTACTGTTCTGGAGGAGAGGAATAGTGGATTTGATTATATTCTCCTGGTTGCAAAATATTCTTGTGCATAAGATCCTGTCAACACCTAGTCTGATGCATGAGGCTAGTCAGAAAGATAATCTTCCAGCTTTGGAAACTGCAGAAAAGAGGAATATGAATACCAAATCTGCACCCTAAAGGAAGTGATATAACAGAAGGAGAGAACATGAGTTTCCTTAGCAAGATTAGCACATCTCTAAGCTATTAGAAGTGGGGAATCAGGTATTTACTGGAAAAGTGTTGATTATCACTTTTGTTGAATTTTTTCAGCATTGCTTATAAGTCAGTGGTTGAATAAAATGTCCTTCCTGTCATATATATGTTGAATGTATATGTCATGTCAGTTCCATGAAAGTATCAATTTAAATGTATTTTTAGCTACTGTATACCTGAAATTGCTTTGTAGATTTCATTATAACTTTTTTCTTCTTTCCTTTAGTGTATCTACCCCCTTGGTTATAAAACATTAAACAGCATAATTATTTCTGCTGATTCGGAAAAACATCAAATTCCAGGTACTGATAAGAAAAGGAAGTTGTGTGATATTAGTGACTTTTCTCCCATTGAATCACATCCAAAGCAGGCAAGGACTAATAACGGGGTAGATGTTGAGCAGACTATTAATGCAAATCCTGCTGTCAAGTACTATGAGGACAGTTTATGTGCTCCTGGGCCAAAGCTACCTGATGAGTTACAGAATGACCAGCAAAAGACTAGTAGCAAAGTGGAGTCCCTTCTGCAGAAGGTGGACACTGAAACAATCAACAGAGCCAGCAGTGATAAAGTAAGTCCTTCCAAGACTTCTTTGGCCAGAACACAGCTCCTGCCGAATCCTGAACTTTGCTCAACAGCATCTGAACTTTTGCTCAAAGACGATAAAAGTTCCACTAATAACTCAGATTTGTGTCTTCAGTGGAGGAACGTGTATGCTCTTTGTTGGCTAAACTGTGTTTTGTCGGCACTGGTACACTTGGAAACATTAAAGTCTGCTCTAACAGAAGAATACACCGAAGAAAAGTGTTTACTCCAGAGACTCCTTAGAAAATACAATCAAGCAACTGCACTTCTGAATACCTGTAAAAGAAGTAAGGTAAAAGGTGAGTAACTTTGGCTACTGTTCTTCATATTCAGTGTTGTATCTGCTACAAATATGCGGAATTCTCTACTGGTCTGTTTGCCTTTTATTTCAAGATCACAAAAGAGTAAGCTATACCTCATTTCCATGAATTTTCAGACCAGAGTTCTTTGTCTAACAGGTTCTCAGCAATCACTGAAAATATTTCTCTCAGGGAAAATACGCACACTTTGAAAGCAGAGATCAAATATTGAATATCTCTTGAAATTTTTTGTTATATAACAAGTAGTTAAGTTGTGAATTGTTCATGTAATTGAGCCTTGAATTTGTTTCCTTCCCCTCTGTATTACAGTGCTGTTCTGATGTGAATCTTCAAAATCTTTTCCGATATGATTTTTTTTATTTCCCTCTATAAATGCACAGTTGCCCTATCATACCAAAAATAGTGAAGCTGGGAAAATATGCTCTTTTCTGGCTCCAGCCGTGCTGAGTGAAGAAACTCGCTGAGGTCCACAAGCTGGTGCTGCTTCCTACCCCGTTCCAGTCCAAGTCAGCCAGATGTGCAAACCTGGTGCCTCCTGTCGAGTGGATTAGGAGCAAGCGCCCTGGGGATGGGAGGGCAGTGCTGAGCAGCTGGAGGGAACCTTTCAGCCAGCACAGCAGGAGTTACGTGATGTGACACTCCAAGCTGTTAGGATGAGCTTTGATCATTTTGTGTAGTCTGGATTCAATTTAAGGCTCTTAAACTGCTAAGATATGTATTTATTTTTTCTGGTTCTTTTGAACTGACCCATTGGAGTCTTGAGTCTGAACTTGTAAAAGATATCCCTTTAGAGAAGGAATACAGGTCTCTTGACCTGTGCCTTTGGTGAAAGCTTTCTCAGTAGATCACTCAGGAAAAGTGAGGTGGGACTATATAGATTATAGTGCCATAACAGCATTAGATAGCATATCTTCCCTGGAAGAAGCAGTGGGAGTAAGAAAAATCGTTTAATAGACTTTGTGCCAGAGAAACCATAATATTTTTTAAAGAAGGGAAAAAAGAATTCTAAAGAATTTCTATGTAATCTCACATGCTCTAGATCTAGCCAGAAATTTGGGCTGCTTATTTTTAGGTTTTCAGATGTTGCCTGGAAGATCTCTGCCATTACAGTACCTGCATCTACTGCTGTTCGTGAAGAAGCCCTGGTGTAGGAGAGCCCTTGGTTGGGGTGCTACATTACTTTCCTTAGGAAGGACACTGTGATCTAGTGTTGCTTGAGATAACCTGAACCTTTCCATTTCTAGGAGTCGCTGCAAAATAAATTAGTCTCTGTGGGCAACAGTGGGGAAGTTAATAGGGGAGGAAGAGTAGTGTCATGCTGTAGTTTTACCCTGCTATCTATTTTTTCGGTTTCTTATTTCTGGCTGATTTTAAAAAACAATCACATGCAGTAGAGCTGAAAATTGTTTTATTATTATTATTTTCTGTATTCATAAATGTTATAAGTAAGAAATAGTTTCCACAGCTGTGTGAAAAACTTCCTTTAATTTGTGGAGGCTATTATCATGATTGTGTAGCAGCTTTCTTGAGCTTAAATTATCTGTTTGTATATAAACAATGCAACTATTGTGAAATTAAGTTACATACTAATGATGATTATTTAACGGATTTATTCTTAATATTTTTAAATGATGACTTAGGAATTTAATATAAGACAACACATTAAAATATTAATAAATGTGTAATATCATTATAAAGCAATTAAGGAAATTTTGCCATTTTGATCTTAAAATTTTGATTTTTTATTATTAAACTTCAAGTCAATTTAAGTAAATTCTGCTAAAATGTGTATAGTTTTTGTAAACTCTGCTGTAACTTTCAGATTGGCTTTAATAGTAAGCATTGGCTGTCTTACAAACAGTTATAAAGAAACGAATGGTATGAAAAGCACTTTTTTTCCAGTCAATGGATGCATCTCAGGTGAATGTGGAGTGAGGGGCTGTTACACGTGAATATGTGGAAATGCATATGCTTTTTTTATTTTTTCCTAGATGTTCTTCCAAAAGCAGAATCAAATCTCAATGAAGTTAGAAACAGAATTTTTACACAGCTTCAGCCTCTGCTTGGGTGTAAATTGGGTGAGTATTATTGCAGAATCTCTGAATTTATTTTCAGGAAACTACATGTGAAACTTTGTGGTTTGTCATCACGTAAAATATGTATGGATATATGCATACAAGTTACATGTGAAACTTTGTCATCACGTAAAAATATGTATGGATATATGCATACAAGACATCATGCAAATACATTTTTCATGTCATTTACTGTGTGGTAAGCTTTTTGGTCTCTTAACTAATTTTGAAGTTGAGAGAGCATTTTCTTCTCTTGGCAACTATGCTATGGTCACAAAATTGCCCATGGGAGCAAGCTAACAACAGGGGCTTGCCCCTTTGTGAGGATTAGAGATGCAGCGTAGATAAAGATACCTAGAATTAGGATCAATATTAGTAAACTTAACCTCTTTCCTTTCAAAGTACTGAAGGCTGATATCAAATATTCAGTGACCGTTTTTCCCCCATCTTTGAAGGTGAGGAGGAAAGCCCGGTGTTCGCGCTCCCTCTGCTCTTACGACAGGATTGCCAGGCAGAGAAACTGTTCCTGAGTTCATTTTCATGGAAGTTTGAGTGCTTACGTTGTGGCTACAAATACCAGGACCGGTGAGATTTTTCTTTGAGTAGCTTTCGTCTGCAAGCTTCTTCCTCGCCTTTTAAGTCTGCACTTAATGCATGGTTTTTGTTCAGGTTTTGTATGGCTTAAGCTCGTTGTTGTTTTATGTGATCCACTTTTTTAGGCTGCCATTTGTAAATGACTTACTGCTGTGTCATGTCTTAATATTATCATGTAGTTAGGAGTGTTACTATGTAATTCAAAAAAGAATAATACACAGTCGTGATGCCTTAGCAGTGCTCATGCTGATTTTTTTTTTTTTTTTTCTGAGGGTATGCAGACCGCTGTTTTTCCACAGAATAAATGCCTGGCAAACCTTTGCTATTGAAGAATACCTCTAACTCATTTGTATTGCAAAGGATTAGAAGTTTACATATATGAGATTTGCTCGCATAGTTGATTTATTTAACAATAGTATTAGAGAAGTGTTTTTCTTGGTGATTGATTGAGCTCTGTATAGCTCTAAGTGCAAGCTGCTCACTTAGGTTCCTTTTAGGGTCAGCAGAAGAAGGGAGGCACCTTCAGAAGACAGCTCATTTCATTTCAAAAATTCTTCTTTCTCTGCGCTGTCCTAGGTTTATACAATGACCCACAAATAAGGTGGGATGAATTCTATACTTTATACCTCCAGCTACTGTGTAGTCCTGCATAATAGGCTGTGTTTTTCAATAAGTTGAAAAATCTAGGTTAGGCTGAATATAAAATAAGATCCTTCTGTGGCTGATGAATGAATGAGCTACATCGTTTCCATTTGATATTCTGTGCTTTGTATTTTCATGTGTTTGGACACTGCTCTAAATGTACTGGTTCTTGGAAAACAAGACCTTGTGTTCTGCATTCTGGTATAATTTCTTACTGCATCTTCACTCTTTCTTGAGACCCTGCGTTGCTTAGTAAATTACTAAAGTCTTGGTAGAAGCTTCCCCATATTTTGGAAAAGAAAAAGAGATAAGATGTTAGGGGATAAAGAGTCGATAATGTAGAGTTAAAGGCCTTAATGCTGAGAACAATGATGACTGATAGTGTTTGGCTGGAGTGAATTCAATGCTTACTTGCATCTGATGCAGTCACAGTGGAGTTCATGGAAATTGCATGAATATGAATAGAATTTGCCTTAGTCATAACATTTTTGTAACTTTTTTCTCTTGGTGTGAAGTATGTATTTTTGTTGTTTTCTGCTCAGCGACTTAATTAACTCTTTTTTTGTGTGTGTGTACAGGTGTAGGAAAACATTAACAACATTCACAAATATAATCTCTGATTGGCATCCACTTAATGCTGTTCACATTGGTCCATGTAATAACTGTAATGATAAATCTCAAAGAAGACAGATGATTTTGGAAAAGTAAGTTTGAATATGTGAACTTGAAAAGAAAATAAATAAAATTCGGAGATTTATGAAAACAAATGCTAAACTTTTAACTCTGATCTCCACGCCTGCGTCCCTGGTGTCTATGGGTAAAACTGCTCTCTCTGAACATGTTTGGTTTCACTTGGAAATACTGTCCTTTCTAACCGGATTATAATAAGTTGTCTCCTGTCTGTCCTATCTCTCCCTCCCCACCTCAATTTCTTATGTGTTTTTTGTTCCCCACATTTATAACAAAGCAGAATTCTCCTGGGCTATTTGTCTCTTGTGAGTACCACTCAATCTGATGAGTTTTGTGAGGTAATAAAATAGTAACAGCAGGACTGCCTACTCTTTGCGATGCCTTGTTTGTGATTTTTCATGAGGAACCACTGCTGATATTTTGTTGTAATAAACGGTTTTTTATTGTTTTTATTTTTTCTTTATTAGAGTACCCACAATATTTATGTTGCATTTTGTCGAAGGCTTGCCACATAACAACCTGAAGAATTACTCTTTTCAGTTTGAAGGGGATTCCTACCAAATAACATCTATCATTCAGTATCAGTCAGTCAAGAAACACTTCATAACCTGGTGTTTGAATGCTGATGGTAAGAACCATAAACTCTGATCATAATAGCGCATGAGTCTACATCAAATACTGTTTTATGAGTTATTGAAATAGTCCCAACTGTCCATAGATAATAACAAGGTGGGGGTTTTTTGTCTGTATTCCCAGTTTCATATTAAAAATTTGAGAATAGTTACAGAAACTTTGTTGCTTATTTCATTTCATGAGGAGGTTTTGTTTTGGTTCAACCGATTTGTTCAACAGTGTTCTGGCCTAGGCTGTCCTCACTGGGAAAAGTTATTTGGGTAGAACCATTTCCTTTCCTAACTTTGTAAAAATGGAAGCAAATACAACCTGAGCTGCTGGTCAAGTTGTATTTGTTAGTTTCAAGCTAAATATTCAACCATTTTTGGGCAGGGATGGAGAAACTTGGGAACTGAGGGGACTGATGCCTAGTTTCTCTTTGCTTCTGATCTGTATTTCACCTGATGGTTGGGAGGAACAATTTGGCATTGGAAG